GCTCGACTGCAGTTAAGCAGGAGCATTATAATTCGAACAATTGAAACAAATCAAATTGGCGGGCAAACGATCCGTTTCATGATATGTATAAAAACAATACCAATCATCAGTGCCAAATAGAATAATGAATTGTAGCGCTATGACATGTTGCTCCTTTATAAAATAATTTTTATCGATCATGAAACATTTTCAAAATTATCAAAATTTACAAAATTTCCAAAAAAACAGTTTATTGTGTCCGTCCCAATTTTAAAATTGTCTATGAAGTAAGGTAGTAAGATATCTTTGGCTTTTAAAGTTGTAAACTGCGTTGGCCTTCGTGTAGTGGTAGAGGAAAATTCTTTACTGAGTTCCGTGAAGCTGGTAGAATTAGGATCCGTATTTGAGAGTTAATTGTTGATTCTGGTTATCAAACGAGAGTGCTAAAAATTATTTTATAAAGGAGCAACATGTCATAGCGCTACAATTCATTATTCTATTTGGCACTGATGATTGGTATTGTTTTTATACATATCATGAAACGGATCGTTTGCCCGCCAATTTGATTTGTTTCAATTGTTCGAATTATAATGCTCCTGCTTAACTGCAGTCGAGCACTCTCTTTGGGAAACCAAACAACAACTATTTATTAGTTATGCTCCTTCGACTCGTCGTTGTTGAGCACTCTCGTTTGATAACCAGAATCAACAATTAACTCTCAAATACGGATCCTAATTCTACCAGCTTCACGGAACTCAGTAAAGAATTTTCCTCTACCACTACACGAAGGCCAACGCAGTTTATAAAGGAGCAACATGTCATAGCGCTACAATTCATTATTCTATTTGGCACTGATGATTGGTATTGTTTTTATACATATCATGAAACGGATCGTTTGCCCGCCAATTTGATTTGTTTCAATTGTTCGAATTATAATGCTCCTGCTTAACTGCAGTCGAGCACTCTCTTTGGGAAACCAAACAACAACTATTTATATGTATAATATATATATAGACGCTTTGGCAGTAAATTGTAGCCTACATTTAAGTGTCCGTAGATTCAAAAGTATAAACGATACAGTCACCACAGGTTTTAAAGATAATCGTTTAAGCTTTAGTTTACATTGTATTGAAAAATAATTTAACGTCATCATCATCACTTGATGACGTCATCAAATTAAGTGTTTTTAAAACTTGATTTTTGACAAAGTAACAACTTTTCAAATCGATTTTACACCATCAAGGAGTAATTTTATTCAAAATCTGAGGACATTTATACCTTAGATAATTGTTCAAGCATCCCGAAAATCTACTGGAAAATTTTCCTACCTTGCTCCTTCATAAAGATATTTACTATTGAAGTTAGTGCTTTTTTGAAGAATAATTTTATAAAAACACAAAAGTTGTGAATTAGTATTCTCTGGTGTTGGGCCATCCCTTGGGTTGTGGAGCTCAATTTTGCTTTTTAAAGGTCTAAATTGTGTTAAAGGCTAGTTTTAAAGTTAAAAATCGAAAAGTTGCACACGTGGGGACACGCCCAAATTCATTTAAAATAGCTAAAATCACTAAAAATTTTGATTTTCACGATTTTTATCAACTTCGGACTCCCGTTGTGATCCAAGTTCTTTATGAAATCTTCTGAAACTTTGCATGCTTATCAAACTATATATTAAATACCACTATGCAAAAATTTACGGTGATTCAATATTTTATGCGCACGCAACGTCCGCTCAAAGTTTGCACGTGCGAAAGGTGAGAATTTTGCTCATTCGTGATTTCGAATATATTCTGCTTTCCACGATATTTAAATGGCATTATATATGAATTTAATGCCAACTTGAATGAGTAAAAAGTGCCATATTCAGTCGGTTATCGACAGATATACCTACCTAAACACAAGGAAACGTTTTCAAAGGCAGAATTTCGAAATCGTTGAAATTACCTCTTTATTAATGAAGTTTCGACTGTGTAAATTATCCTGACATTATAATCAAAAAGAGATGATATTTGACCAAAACCCATAATCATGGGTAGAGTGAACCGCTGCCAGTGTCTCTCTTTTCCAAACAAAAGGAAATGATATTAATTTGAGGAACCGTCCGCAAATGCAATTTGATACCGAGAATGAAATCGGTCGCTCGCTTTTCCCATTTAATAAGCTTTATTACAATTCGTAAGCCGTGAATGAATGGGAAAAGCGAGCGACCGATTTCATTCTCGGTATCAAATTGCATTTGCGGACGGTTCCTCAAATTAATATCATTTCCTTTTGTTTGGGAAAGAGAGACACTGGCAGCGGTTCACTCTACCCATGATTATGGGTTTTGGTCAAATGGTATATATATATGTATAGACGCTTTGGCAGTCAATTGTAGCCTACATTTAAGTGTCCGTAGATTCAAAAGTATAAACGATACAGTCATCTCCAACCATAGGTCTTGAAGATAATCGTTTACACTTTAGTTTACATTATATCAAAAAGCAATTTAACGTCATCGTCACCACTTGATGACGTCATCAAATTAAGCGTTTTTAAATCTTGATTATTGACAAAATAACAACTTTTCAAATCAATTTAACACCATTAAGGAGTAATTTTATTCAAAATCTGAGCAAATTTTCATCTTAGATAATTGTTCAAGCATTCTAAAAATCTACCGGAAAATGTTTCTACCTTGCTCCTTCATAAAGATATTTGCTATTGAAGTTAGTGCTTTTTTGAAGAATAATTTTATAAAAACACAAAAGTTGTGAATTAGTATTCTCTGGTGTTGGGCCATCTCTTGGGTGGTGGAGCTCAGTTTTGCTTTTTAAAGGTCTAAATTGTGTTATAGGCTAGTTTTAAAGTTGAAAATCGAAAAGTTGCACACGTGGGGACACGCCCAAATTGATAGAAAATTGCTAAAATCACTGAAAATTGTTATTTTCACGATTTTTATCAGCTTTGGAGTCCCGTTGTGATGCGAGTTCTTGTTAAAATATTCTGAAACTTTGCACACTTATTAAAATACATAAGAAATACGAAAATTCAAAATTTTACGGTGATTTGATATTGGATGCGCACGCAACGTCCGCTCAAAGTTTGCAAAAAGTGAGAACTTCACTCTCTTTATTTCGATTAGATTTAGTTCCTGCTTTAACAGTAACATGACAGTTAAATGACATTATATTTGAGTTTAGTGCCAACTTGATAGATTATATAGTTGCATATTCAATCAGTGATCGACAGATATGCTTACCTAAACACAAGGAAATGTTTTTAAAGGAAAAATTTCGAAATTGTTGAAAATTCCTCCTTATTAATGAAGATATCAGTTTATATTTCGACTTTATAAAATACTCTGACATTACAATCAAAAAGAGATGATATTTGACCAAAACCCATAATCATGGGTAGAGTGGACCGCTGCCAGTGTCTCTCTTTCCCAAACAAAAGGAAATGATATTAATTTGACTGACCGTTCTCAAATGCAAATTCATACCGAGAATGAAATCGGTCGCTCGCTTTTCCCATTCATTCACGGCTTACGAATTGTAATAAAGCTTATTGAATATAGGAAAAGCGAGCGACCGATTTCATTCTCGGTATGAATTTGCATTTGAGAACGGTCAGTCAAATTAATATCATTTCCTTTTGTTTGGGAAAGAGAGACACTGGCAGCGGTCCACTCTACCCATGATTATGGGTTTTGGTCAAATATATATATATATATATATATATATATATATATATAGACGCTTTTGCAGTCAATTATAGCCTACATTTAAGTGTCCGTAGATTCAAAAGTACAAAAGATACAGTCATTTCGAACCACAGGTCTTAAAGATAATCGTTTACACTCCAGTTTCCATTATATTAAAAAGTAATTTAACGTCATCATCATCACTTGATGACGTCATCAAGTTAAGTGTTTTTAAAACTTGGTTTTTAACAAAATAACAACTTTTCAAATCGATTTTAAACCATTAAGGAGTAATTTTATTCAAAATCTGAGGATATTTTCATCTAAGATAATTGTTCAAGCATTCTGAAAATCTACCGGAAAATTTTCCTACCTTGCTCCTTCATAAAGATATTCGCTATTGAAGTTAGTGCTTTTTTGAAGAATAATTTTATAAAAATACAAAAGTTGTGAATTAGTATTCTCTGGTGTTAGGCCATCCCTTGGGTTGTGGAGCTCGATTGTGCTTCTTAAAGGTCTAAATTGTGTTAGATGAAATCTTCTGAAACTTTGCATGCTTATTAAATTATATATAAAATACTGCTATGCAAAGATTTACGGTGATTCAATATTGTATGCGCACGCAACGTCCGCTCAAAGTTTGCACGTGCGAAAGGTGAGAATTTTGCTCATTCGTGATTTCGAATAAATTCTGCTTTCCCGCGATATTTAAATGGAATTATATATGAATTTAATGCCAACTTGAATGAGTAAAAAGTGCCATATTCAGTCAGGTAAAATTTCGAAATCGATGAAATTACCTCCTAATTATTAATATAAATATTAATGAAGTTATGAGTTTACATTTCGGCTTTGTAAATTATCCTGACATTATAATCAAAAAGAGATGATATTTGACCAAAACCCATAATCATGGGTAGAGTGTACCGCTGCCAGTGTCTCTCTTTTCCAAACAAAAGGAAATGATATTAATTTGAATAACCGTCCGCAAATGCAAATTGATACCGAGAATGAAATATTGAAATCGGTCGCTCGCTTTTTCCATTCGATCACGGCTTACGAATTGTAATTGGTAATAAAGCTTATTGATTAGAAAAAGCGAGCGACCGATTTCATTCTCGGTATCAATTTGCATTTGCGGACGGTTATTCAAATTAATATCATTTCCTTTTGTTTGGAAAAGAGAGACACTGGCAGCGGTACACTCTACCCATGATTATGGGTTTTGGTCAAATTTATAAATATGTATTTAACATTAAATTAAATTCAAAATCTATTCAAAGATTTAACAAAGGTTTGATGTATTGCTATTATATCATATTATAACAATTTGTTTCAGACCCTTACTCAGTAGGAACGAACCTTTCAACTGAAAAGATGTGAATCCTTTGTTGACCATGTTATGAGCTGTGAGCAGTAAGTACAAGAAGCGGAGAATTACTCTATTCGTCGAAATCAAAAAACTGTTCAATCAATATCCAAAAATTTTAACATTATTAAGTTATTAGGCTCATAGTAATACTTCTCATACAAATTTACAACAAAGTCTTCATGTTATGTATCCTGAGTTTGGACAGGATAATATTATCCCCTTAAAATATTTCCATCGCGATACATAATATTCAATAAATGTAATAGATTTGTAGTGTTGTAATTAGTTTTGAACTGCTGAAGTTTATCCAGCCCTAAAATATAACAAACTTAGAAAAGCAAACTTATTTGCCTTCGTTTTTAAACCTACTTTCAGCTTTTATCAGCAGCTAAAATTAAGGTACGTACCTATACTTAATACGTAGAATCTAGTTAATTGTAATAACATACACCATTGATAGCTTCGTGATATTTTCTAGCAAATATTAGAAACTGACTGGAAATCCGGTGCTTTCCATTTCAAATGGCAAAAGCGAGAAGATCTTTATATCGTCAATTAATGATAATTCAATTTAATTTTAAGTTATTAATAAAAAACTCCAGGAACGAAGACGATGCTGTATAAAGACTATACGAATGTTGAACAGGAATAAAGAGATGATATCAGCTTCAACCAATCAATGAGAATTGAAGGTTAGTAAAAAATGACCCTTTTTAAAGTGCTTTTTCGTGATAACACTTCTATTGTGCTGAATTCCTAAAATTCAATTGCTGTTTAATACACACATCGCTTTTATCTAACTTATTTTGAACTTGACTGTGATCAAATTTTGAACATGAACTGTGCTGATCACTATAAATTACATGTACAATACCAAAAATAATGTGTCACTCGGCAATAAAATCACCATTTCAGATTACAGAAACGAGCTTCATGGCATTGATAAGTGATGAATACCCTGAAAAAGAAACTAAACTCCATCACTGTGAGACATATTTGTGTTTATAAACATTTGTTAACATTATTCAATGTTAAATACATACTATTTATAAATATGTATTTAACATTAATCAAAATTCAAAATCTACAAAAAGATTTAACAAAGTTTTGGTGTTTTGCAATTACATCATAATATTATAACAATTTATTTCAGACCATTTCAGAATCCAGGAACGAACCTCATGATATTGAAACGAAGATCACGAGAAAAAAAACAAACCTCCGCCACTGTGAGATACTGCTGTAACCAGAAATTTTAAGCTATCTTAATGAACAATTTGACTAGTATCAACCTACCACTGAAGATGGTAAACATTGTACACCGTACCGAACAGTAGAACCGGTATCCCTTTTAACATTTTAAGAAATGCAACCGATTGATAAATGGAACCGGATTAATCATTTTAAACGATTTCATAAATAGATAAATCTGCATGTATTGCTATTATATCACATTATAACAATTTATTTCAGACCCTTACTCAGTAGGAACGAACCTTTCAACTGACAAAACAAAATGTGAACCCTTTGTAAACCTTTTTAGGCAGCTGTGAATAGTAAGTACAAGAAGTGAAAAATATTCTTCTCGTTTAAATTTTTCTACAAACTGTTCAATAATTATTATTTCATGAAATGTGATCATTTCTACTTTTACGTTCCAAACACGAACTGTGGTGTTTACTAAAGACTATTATATATATAATACCAGATTTTTGTCACTCGACCATTTCAGAGTCCAGGAACGAGCCTCATGATATTGAAACAAAGATCACGAGAAAAGACACAGACCTCCGCCACTGTGAGATACTGCTGTAACCAGACATTTTAAGCTATCTTAATGATCAATTTGACTAGTAATAGTATCAACCTACCACTGAAGATGGTAAACATTGTACACGTACCGAACAGTAGAACCGGTGTCCCTTGCAACATTTTAAGAAATGCAACCGATTGATAAATGGAATCGGATTAATCATTTTAAACGTTTTTATAAATGTGCATGTATTGCTATCAGGGACAAAAGGAAATCGCGGCATGTACGGAATCGCGATTTTTCCCATTATTTTCGACAAATTTTATGTATAGTTTAATGTTTACATACATGTTACATGGCGAGATCTCCATCCAAAAGGATTAGTCTGCGTCGACTGCGTCATTACTTTGTATTATACAACTTCGGCGGGTAACATTTCTCCATCCCTTTCGGTCTGCAGCTAATCTTCTCATACAATCAATCGTGAGTCCATTCCGATCCAATCTCTGCTCAGCATCCTCAATAAATACATCATTTAAGCTCTTCCTAGGCCTGCCTCTTGATCTCTTCCCATGCTTGGGTTTCCATTCAAGTAAATAGTTGGGTAACCGATCTTTAGGCATTCTACTGACATGTCCAAACCAACGCAGCCGTTTTGTTGTTATTATGTCAGCAAGAGCAGTTATTGATGCCCTTCTTAAAACATCCTCATTACTTACTTGATGGAACCACCTCACTCTCAGGATTCTTCTTAAGCAGTACTGATGGAAAGACTCCAATCTTCTTGTCTGCACTTGAGTCGTGTTCCATATCTCACATCCATAGGTCAGAATGGTAAGAACAGCTGCGATGAAGATTCGCACTTTGTTGTTAATGCTTATGTTCTTATTCTTCCAAATGTTGTTGAGTTGGTTAAAAGCTCCAGTTGCTTTTCCAATCCTGACACTTATTTCTTTAACAATCTTGCCATCTGATGTAATTTTGGCACCCAAATAAGTGAATTGAGTGACCTGCTTTGCAGAGTTTCCATCGACAGTTATATCTATGGTCCTATTCTCTGGGAGTGGGTGCTGCGATGTATCTTTCCCAATGACCATGATCTCTGTTTTCTTTGCGTTCATCTTTAAACCCCCGAGCCCACAGTATTTCGCAATATTGTCCGTAGTTTCTTGCAGTCCTTCAACAGTGTCATCCATTCCTGCGATGTCATCAGCATAGTCCAGATCAATGACACATTTTTCCGGTTGTCTGGAACTTTGTCTGTACTGAAGAGTAAAACCACGGGATATATTTTTAAACTTCTCTGCAAGTTCTAATCCCCAGTTAAGTACAAGATTAAAAATGGGGGCCCTTGCACATCACCTTGTCCAGTCCCCGAATCGACATCAAACCATCTTGTCAATTCTCCATTGACACGAACTGCACTTTCAGTTGCTCTAAAGAACGCTTTGAAAACATTGATATATTTTGTCGGAAGACCATAATGTTCAAAAGCTTTCCAAATAAAGTCACGATTGATTGAATCAAAAGCAGCTTTAAAATCAATAAAGTTTATGTACAAAGGGACGTTGAATTCTATACAATTGTGTATTATACAATGAAGGGAGTATAGCTGATCTATACAAGAACGGTTTCTCCTGAAACCGCACTGATTCTCTCTGAGCAATTTTTCAAGCCCATTACTCAGTCTTTTTAACAACACAATTTGGAATAACTTTGATACAGTTGAACGTAACGTTATACCTCTGTTATTGTTGCAATATGTGAGGTCCCCTTTCTTTGGGATGATGGTGATTATTCCTTTTCTCCAATCATTAGGAATATCCTCACTTTTCCACACAGTTTCAAAAAGATCCTTTAACCAAGGCAGAAGTCCAGAAGAACCGTACTTTAACTGCTCATTTGAAATTTCATCAATTCCAGCACTCTTGTAGTTCTTCAACTTCTTGATAGCTTCCTCAATTTCAAACAAGGACGGTGGTTCATCATCATTACTAAGGTATTCAAAAGAAAGTAACTTTTCATCCTGATCCAATATAGAGAAATCCACCGCATTTGCTGCTGGCGTCAAGAGTTCTTCAAAATATTCGGCCCAGCGATGTGACTGAGCTTCGGGATCTGATATAAGTGTCCCATTCTTATCCCGCACTGCCGCAGATCTGCTTACTCTCTTGTTTGTTAAGGATTTTATTTTCTGCCAAACATCTCTTTGTTGACCCTGCTTGGCAGCATCTTCTAATTCCTCAGCTACTCTAACAGCCCAAGCATTATCATCTCTTTTACAGTTCTGCCTAACAAGGCCGTTAATCCGCGAGTACTTAGCACGGTTCTCAGCAGTACTGGGTTTCTTTTTAATCTCCCCTCGTTCTTTTAGGAGATTTTTAGTATCCCTTGAGAGATGTTCTGTTCTCTTTTTCCGGCCCCTTTCACCCAGCACTTCAAATGAAACATCAGTTATTATATCTCTCAGTTTCTTCCACTGTTCTTCTAAAGGAGAGTTTCCATGCTCCTGATCGTTGTTATAGTACTCTTCAGCTATTCTGTTACTATATTCCTGGCTCTTAGATCTATCACGCAGGTGCTCTAAAGCAGGCTGTCTTACACGCTTCTTTCTTTTCTGAGGACACTTAAGTTTAATAAATACATATCCTCTTACCAGATAGTGAGTAGTATTTATATCTGCTCCCCTCATGCTCCTGACATCAAGCAAAGAATGGCTCCATCTCGTCGAAATACACATATGGTCAATTTGAGTGACGGTGTTACCATTTGGGGATCTCCATGTTGTCTTGTTGTTTAATGTTTAGCCTGTTAAATTTCGCGGTATCGCGATTTTTGGCCAAAATAATCGCGATATCCTTTTGTCCCTGATTGCTATTATATCATATTATAACAATTTATTTCAGACCCTTACTCAGTAGGAACGAACCTTTCAACTGAAAAAACAAAATGTGAACCCTTTGTAAACCTTTTTAGGCAGCTGTGAATAGTAAGTACAAGAAGTAAAAAATATTCTTCTCGTTTAAATTTTTCTACAAACTGTTCAATAATCATTATTTCATGAAATGTGATCATTTCTACTTTAACGTTCCAAACACGAACTGCATGTGGTGTTTACCAAAGACTATTCCATATATAATACCAGATTTTTGTCACTCTACCATTTCAGAATCCAGCAACGAGCCTCATGATATTGAAACGAAGATCACGAGAAAAGACACAGACCTCGGCCACTGTGAGATACTGCTGTAACCAGACATTTCAAGCTATCTTAATGAACAGTTTGACTAGTAATAGTATCAACCTACCACTGAAGATGGTAAACATTGTACACCGTACCGAACAGTAGAACCGGTGTCCCTTTTAACATTCTAAGAAATGCAACCGATTGATAAATGGAACCGGATTAATCGTTTTAAACATTTTCATAAATAGATAAATCTGCATGTATTGCTATTATAGCACATTATAACAATTTATTTCAGACCCTTACTCAGTAGGAACGAACCTTTCAACTGACAAAACAAAATGTGAACCCTTTGTAAACCTTTTTAGGCAGCTGTGAATAGTAAGTACAAGAAGTGAAAAATATTCTTCTCGTTTAAATTTTTCTACAAACTGTTCAATAATTATTATTTCATGAAATGTGATCATTTCTACTTTTACGTTCCAAACACGAACTGTGTGGTTTCCAAAGACTATTCTATATATAATACCAGATTTTTGTCACTCTACCATTTCAGAATCCAGCAACGAGCCTCATGATATTGAAACGAAGATCACGAGAAAAGACACAGACCTCGGCCACTGTGAGATACTGCTGTAACCAGACATTTCAAGATATCTTAATGAACAATTTGACTGGTAATAGTATCAACCTACCACTGAAGATGGTAAACATTGTACACGTACCGAACAGTGGAACCGGTGTCCCTTGCAACATTTTAAGAAATGCAACCGATTGATAAATGGAATCAGATTAATCATTTTAAACGTTTTCATAAATCTGCATGTATTGCTATCAGGGACAAAAGGAAATCGCGGCATGTACGGAATCGCGATTTTTTCCATTATTTGCGACAAATTTTATGTATAGTTTAATGTTTAGCCTGTTAAATTTCGCGGTATCGCGATTTTTGGCCAAAATAATCGCGATATCCTTTTGTCCCTGATTGCTATTATATCATATTATAACAATTTATTTCAGACCCTTACTCAGTAGGAACGAACCTTTCAACTGACAAAACAAAATGTGAACCCTTTGTAAACCTTCTTAGGCAGCTGTGAATAGTAAGTACAAGAAGTGAAAAATATTCTTCTCGTTTAAATTTTTCTACAAACTGTTCAATAATTATTATTTCATGAAATGTGATCATTTCTACTTTTACGTTCCAAACACGAACTGTGTGGTTTCCAAAGACTATTCTATATATAATACCAGATTTTTGTCACTCTACCATTTCAGAATCCAGCAACGAGCCTCATGATATTGAAACGAAGATCACGAGAAAAGACACAAACCTCGGCCACTGTGAGATACTGCTGTAACCAGACATTTCAAGCTATCTTAATGAACAATTTGACTAGTAATAGTATCAACCTACCACTGAAGATGGTAAACATTGTACACCGTACCGAACAGTAGAACCGGTGTCCCTTTTAACATTTTAAGAAATGCAACCGATTGATAAATGGAATCGGATTTTTTTGAGAAATATAACTTTAAATCATTTTGAACGTTTTTAAAAATCGGCATTCAACGAGAAATTTTGAGATTTATTTTAAAATTTAAAAAATGAATAAATGTTGTGTGAAGTGTGATTATTTTTCTTTAAGGGGGGGGGGGGGGGGGGGGTTCACCCTGATTTTTTTGTGAAACTTGGTTTCGAGATAGCAGTTGACCAACAAACTAGGACCGGTGACCGAACTTTTGAGGGGGTCCCGGACCCCAACCGCCAAACGGTGCTCGCGGGGCAGCCACGCCCATATTTGGTCCAAATTAGGCCCAATTTAGCCGAATACCCTCAACATGCCCAAAACCCAGATTTTAGGTGATTTACTTGTAGCTAGTGGTCCCTTGAACTCGTATATGAATTTTCATCAGGATTGGACAAAAAATGACTGAGTTATGAGCCAAAAACCATATGCCCTTATTTGGGTATACGCACCAAATTTTGTCGATTTTTGCCCATAAATTGGTCAGATATCAATATTTTTGAATGAAACTTTATATGGAAGGTAAGCCTATACTACACATTCTCTTTGATTATCAGCTCAGTATCTACCTAACTGTAGAATTCTGTGTTCAATTAATTGCAAAAAACGAACAAAATCGCCTATATCTCAGTTCGCGATATTTGCGAAACTGATTTCGTTCAAAACAATAGAACTCAATAGGGTTTCAATATTTTTACATGAAATTTTCAGAATCAACGTAGAATCGCATTTCGACCTTAAGTTTTAATATGGAATTTTGAGTTAGGCCTTTAAAAAAATTTGGCGGCCAAATTATGAAATTTGAGCTGATAATCATAAAGAATGTGTAGTATAGGCTAACCTTCCATATAAAGTTGGTTTCATTCAAAAATATTGATATTTGACCAATTTATGGGCCAAAATCGACCAAATTCGGTGCGTATACCCAAATATGGGCATAGGATTTCAAGGATTTCAAGGATTTCAAGGATTTCAAGGATTTCAAGGATTTCAAAATAAAAAGATCATTACAATAAACATTGTGTCGGATCTAAATTTAAAAAAATAAAGATAAAATGAAAGTCAAAAACGAAAAAACCGAAACCTGTCCTGAAAAATGCACGGTTGACGGTTATAGTCTAAAGAGTTTAAAAACCGAGCTATTCTAAAAAGGAATGTTCATGACGCGAACAACCAGTCCTATGTGTCCATGCCTAAGATCCACACATAAATTCCACACTAAATCAAAAGTGTGAAACGCACAAGAAAAATAACACACTGTCGGATCCACGTTTCGCATGTTGAGTCCGTGAGTTATGTTGTTAGTCCTTCCTTTTCTTTTCTGTCACTCGGGGGGAACCTCCGCTTGTTCACTTTACTCAAGAATCTGGCAGTTTCTCTGATCAATAAGATATCCTTGAAGAGGTCGGCCAAGGTCTCCGCTCCAGAGGTGATCATGGTTCTCGCCTGCTGACCTATGTTTCGCCTCAGGTCGTCGTAAAGCGAACAATCCGTGAGAACGTGTTTCTCATCTTCAATGATCGGCTCAAACATTGGTAGCTCGGCCAGTATACCGACAGCTTCAAGGTCTGATGAAGAACAGTGCTTACAAATATGGTTTTTGGCTCATAACTCAGTCATTTTTTGTCCAATCCTGATGAAAATTCATATACGAGTTCAAGGGACCACTAGCTACAAGTAAATCACCTAAAATCTGGGTTTTGGGCATGTTGAGGGTATTCGGCTAAATTGGGCCTAATTTGGACCAAATATGGGCGTGGCTGCCCCGCGGGCACCGTTTGGCGGTTGGGGTCCGGGACCCCCTCAAAAGTTCGGTCACCGGTCCTAGTTTGTTGGTCAACTACTATCTCGAAACCAAGTTTCACAAAAAAATCAGGGTGAACCCCCCCCCCCCCCCCCCCCCCCCCTTAAGTGTATATTATTACTTACCATTTTTAACTGGTGTTTTTTTAAATAAGAAATTTAAATACATTTTTACTTTACAATTTACGTTACTTTTTTAAAGTAATAATTTAAAAGCACATAGTTTTATTACTTTTGACTTTTCAGTTTTACATTACTTCGTTAGTAATGACTATGATTTGTTTCAAACAGATGCAATAATTAAATGTGTAATATCACAACTCTCTTTCGAATAAAACATTTCAGCAAGACCTTAAAATAATACATCATATATATATGATAAACAAATAAATAATTGAACAAGGTACTGTAAGTGCTTCTAAACTCACCATTTAAACAAAATGCCACTATAAGATCCAAAATTAGTGGCTCACGACATGAACTTATTGGCCAAAATTAAAGAGTGAGAAAATATTCTGTTTAAATCATTTATGGCAGAAAGCGACCACAATATTGTGTAATTTACTATTTGATAATGTCAACGAAATACTATTTAGATTATTATGCTAATTATTTTTAATTTACTAATTTTGTTAATTATAATAATTCTGCTAATTATAATAATTTTTTTAGTTATACTAATTTTGCTAATTATACTAATTTTGCTAATTATGTTGATTTTGATAATTATACTTATTCTGATAATTTATTTAAATATGCTAATTATATTAATAATGCTAAATTTACTAATTATTTCAATTATACTAATTTTGCTAATTATACTAATCATACTGATCATACTAATTATAATAATTATACTTATTGTACTTATTACTAATTACTAATTGCATTAATTACACTAATTATAATAATTATAATAATTTAAATACTTATTATATTAATTTAAATACTAATTATACTGTTTACTCACAACACTGATTTTAAGGGGGGGGGGTTCACCCTGATTTTTTTGTGAAACTTGGTTTCGAGATAGCAGTTGTGAGTTGACCAACAAACTAGGACCGCGGTGACCGAACTTTTGAGGGAGTCCCGGACCCCAACAGCCAAACGGTGCCCGCAAGGCAGCCACGCCCATATTTGGTCCAAATTAGGCCCAATTTAGCCAAATACCCTGAATATGCCTGGTGTCAAGTCCTTCAATGACTGACGCCGTGCTCCTTGTGTACCTCATTGTTCCAGCTTCAACAACAGTAATATATTCGGGTAGAGATATACTTACCAAATCATTTACTATTTTATAGAAGAGCGTAATTGAATTGTGGATGAACTTAGATCTAATCGGTAGAATTTTAAGCTCCTTCTGCTTCTCATAGAATACAATATCACTATAGTGATCAAACTGTTGTCCATTGATCCATTTGATCGCTCTGATCGCTTTGATCAACTGCTATCTTAAAGTTTAGCTCTACTCTCTTTCCCTCTTTGGTAGTTTTGTCTTTAGAATGACCGGCTACAGCTTTCAGTAGGGAAGCTGTATAAATAATTGGGGGGAACATTTAAAACAACGTAGATTTGGAGTTATCTACAAATCTCCAGAAAAGTCATTTTGGGCCGATCAAAAGTTTGCAACTTTAACTCTGCAGATTCCTGTACTATGATTGGCTGAATTGTGTCACGTGCTGGCTGCTTGAAGATTGGAATGCGCTCTGCGTGCAAATCATGCTTAATGTCGCGCGCGAGGTCTAACCGTCTGTTTAAATTAAACCACCTCTAGTACCACCACCAGCCAGTAACTTTTGCTGGGAAGGGATGATTGCTCGGGTACCATGTCTGGATGCTTTTGTGAACCTTATATTGCTGCAATTGGGGACAATTCATTGTGAAGGATCTTCCACATCATCAGAATAGTGTACCGTTCCCTTCTGCGCTGCAGTGACATTAGCTTTAGATGTGAAAGCCTCTCCCAGTAGTTCATATTTTCCAGACCGCATATACGATTGGTGAATGTTCGCTGGACCCCGGCTCCAAAAGCTGGATCTCAGTCACCTTAAGGGCTTAACAGGGTCCCACAGCGGACAACAGTACTCTAGTAGGCTTCTGACCAAAGACTTATATAGGGTAGTCATTACGGTCCTATCACGAGTTTTGAAGACACTAAACACCCATGAAAGTGTGCTTAGCTTTCTTGACCATATTACCGATCTGTTTGGACCACTTCAGATCGCTTGATACCATAACTCCGAGGTCTCTAACGTTCTCAACGGAATGTAGTATTTCCTCGCTGGAGACCTTGTAAAGTAGAGTTTCCACGTAAAAAGGGAGTTCAGAAAAGTTACTCTTTCTGTTGTGGAGATGATTCAGGAGCTCAAACTTCTGTTCGTGGAGCTTCATGTTGTTGCAGCGTGACCAGTCGAGAATACCGTACAGATCAGCCTGAAGCAACAGACAGTCCTCAAAGCAATCGATACGTTTGGAGACCCTAGTATCGTCAGCAAAGAAGCTTACCTTAGAAGAGGTAACAGCTAGCTCTAGATCGTTAATAAACAAAATTAACAATAGTGGTCCTAACACACTTCCCTACGGGACACCACTTAGAACCCTGGCACTGTCCGAATGAACACCGTTTAGGACTACAACCTGTTCACGGTCAGAGAGAAATGACTGGATCCAGCTTAGAAGTTTGCCGTGAAATCCGTATCTCTTTAACTTTAACAAGAGAAGGTCCAAGTCAACTTTGTCAAAAGCCTTGGCGAAGTTGAGGTATATGGAGTCTGTGTCTTTCCCCTGAGTAAACCCTTCAAAGATGTCATCAAAGTGATCGAGCATTTGGGTCAAGCAGCTTCTGTTCGATCTGAAACCATGTTGTTTGTCAGATAACAAATTGTTGGTTTCGAGACGCTGAGACATGTGTTTCCTAACCACTCTTTCATAGACTTTGACTACATGTGAGGCCAGAGTAACCGGTCTGTAGTTAGCAGCATCACACTTGCTACCTTTCTTGAAAAGCGGTGTGACATATCCAGTCTTGTAGAAACTTGGGACTATGCCTGTATACAATATACATGGACTCAGACCAGAGGAGATGAATCGGTACACTCAAGCTTGAAGCACATCTTTTAAGGAGAATAACAGGAATACCATCGAATCCGGGTGCAGAGTCCAACTTAATCTCAGATATAGCTTCCACGATGTGGTTAGGTGTGAGTACCAGTTCTGTATCCCTACTAGTGAGAGGTGGCACTGTAAATGTAGATAGTGACTTATCCGGGCAGTTGGGGTCACTAAAGACAGAACTGTTGCTGCAGTATATTAGCTAACTCTTTCCGTTCAGTTACCAGTTTCTTATCACAGTTTAGAAGAGTTGAAATATTGTGCTTAACTTAAGAAAAGGATTTTGCGTATGAGTAAAAGTATTTAGGATTGACTTTAATTTTATCCACTGCTCTCTTTTCACCTTGATCAAGATGGTGGACTATAGCTTCCTTGATCTCATAGCAATTTAATCCAATTTCGTCCTCAAGTTTCTTGATTCGAGCTAGGTCATTGGCACACTTTGCAGCAGAGAGACGGGTTTTAAGTCGTGACTTCTTCCTTCTCAGCGAGTTATAAAGCTTCGGCTGGCCAGTTGGTGGTCGTTTCCGAGGAACATTTTCCAGGCATATATTAAGCACTGTCCGTGTAAACTCTGCGGGAAATCTTTCAAAAGTGCTTGCATCTCTCAAGTCCTTCCAATTCAATCTGTTCAGGATCTCAGTAATCGGTTCGAAGTCTGCCCGATTAAAATCTAGGGCTCGGAAGCTCATTTCGTCAAGATATGAAGCCTGAGCCTCCTCCATTAGACCAGGGTTAAAGGATAGCAGTACTGAGTACATTAACCATGTCGTAATCAGATATTTCTGTTGCTTCACAAGTTACATCAGATACTAACCGATCATTGTTACACAAGACGAGGTCTAGTGTACTGTTTCCCCTGGTTGGTAACCACAGTAACCACCTGACTCAGCAGATGGGTTGACATGAAGTTTAGCAGGTATTGGGCGGAGAGATTTGAATCAGAGGTCCCACCGCTCATAAAGTTTAGTGATTCCCAGTCAATCTGGGGAAAGTTAAAATCGCTTGTTATAAAGACGTCGTAGTCACTAGGTGCAAGGTTCTCAATAGCGAATGTAAATCTATCTATTAGTTTTGAGAAACTACTTGAGCTTGCGTCAGGTGGCCTATAAGCAACTGCTATGCAAAGTTTAGCAGAAGGGTAGACATTAAATATTCCCTAACAAATGCTGTCGTCGTAAGTCTCTGACACCGAGACTGGGATGGACGACAGTGAGTAAAGTATTACTCCTCCGCCAACTCTCTTACTGCGATCACTTCGACAAAGTGAGTATCCGGGTAACTGAAGCTGAGCGTCACTGATATGTGACTTAAGCCAAGATTCTGTGATAGCAATAAAGGGGTAGAGCTGTCCAGACTGTCGTTTATCGTCTACATGACCAACAAGGTCATTAAGCTTCCATCTGCAGGTACTGTGGGCAGATGGATTTAAATTCCTAGCATTTAATAATAAGAGTGATGAGAGAAAGGAATCTGGTGGTGTGGTAGCCTGGGCACACCTAGACTCATCATTGGGGGAGCTGATTGAACGGGGTAGATCATGGATGCTCCCATTGGCTGTGTAACAGTTTGGGATGGGGATGGGGTACTTTGATCCATCTTTTTCTCGAATGCTTCTAACTTGGCCGCCATCCCAGTGATCAAGTTTCGTAGCTTTAAAAAATCACTCGTGTTGGCATCACTATTCTGTTTGCTGTACCTCTGATTCGTGTTAAGAGTGTTACTCTTAGGACGCTCTCCCCTCTCAGGACGCTCCTTTGTACTCTTCCTGGTCGACCGGGGGTGAAACTTTAAACAGTCCTTTTTAGAACACGAACAATTCTCAAGTGCAGCTCTACAGATATCAGGGTGAAAGAATGTACAGTTTTAACCTTCCTTACAACCACTCCTTCCCGTGAAACCAGATGCTCGGTACTGATTGCAGACCCTTGGATGAGTAGAAGGGCAAGAGTTCCCGTTGATCTTCTTTTTTCCACTGATTCCGTGTGGACAATTCCAGTTTAGGAACTCTTGACAAATAGTTGTGGCTGGTTGTGAAGAGTCTGTAGCTGCAGCTGCCGTTGTAGTGGCTGAACTAAGCGATAACACGTGAGATGGAATTTGGGTCGAAGACATCACACTAGAAACTTATAAAAGAAAGTTAGCCGCCGCAAAGGCTGTTGGCACATTTCCAGTATGACTTCTTATCACGCTTTCTGTCCGAGAATTACCGGTATCCCTCGTGGATGACGTTCCGTGAGCCAGAAGTTCGACCAGGAATGGTGTCCACCGCGGCGGCCAATATTGAGACAGGACGTCATGGAACCCACAAAAGAAACCAGATCGTACCTCGGATATGTAAAGCTTGCTCAACAGAGGACATGGACATGCTCGAAAATTTCGCAGAAATGCCATTCTTCGACCCCATCATCGAAGATGAGGTACACGTCCTCCGGACCTGCTCCCTGTATGAAGACTACCGACACCGCTTTAGTCAGAGAGCCAAAACCTGTCTTTTCGCTAACTTAGAGGGGCTATTCACAGATACCAGCCTCATAAGAGAGACAGCGAGGTTCTTGGTGAGAGCAAACAACAGGCGTTTCCCGAAGAAGGAAGTCACTAAGAAGGATCTGCTGAAGTCCAGCTGTAAAGTCACCGCTACACCTCAACGGAACTCCTCTGCGGACACGTGACGGTCAAGTCGGGCTTCATTTCATTTCATATCACGATCAACATATCATATCATTTTGGAACATGTTCATGGGAATTAAATTATTTTATTTGCACTTGTTTCTCTTTCAACAAAAGTTGTGACGAAGTTAAATTTTTATGATTTTTAAATTTTTATTTTAAGAAAACTCTTGCACATTATTTATTTATTTATTTCTATTAATAAAACAAAAGTTAATAAAACAAAAGTTAAATTTATTACCAATTATTCAATCAATACATATCATAAATTCTAATATTGGAAACACAATGCAGAATGGATGTCTTAAACTATAATTTGTTGTCACTAATAATCTATTTACTTTCAAAGTTGAAATTTAGTTAAGTATGAAATGCCACCACATCATAGTTAGGGTAAAATATAATTCTTAAAAATTTTAAAATTAAGAAGATTGCTCTATGACTTAAAATTTAAAATTTAGCTAAAGATGTCTAATTTTTAAATAGTTGGTTACAGTTTATGACAGTACTGGCATGACCAATTTTATTGTGGCTGGTAAAAGGACCCAGTTGCCTGTAAGGGCTTTACCGAACCCCTGGGGACCACAATGTGATAGGATCAGGCCAGATGTTTCTATGTAGAGCAATTTATTTATTTCGGAGCTATGGTTACGTGGTATAGTTGGTGGTCATGTTTAAAGGTCAGTTTATCATTGTGTGCTAATTATCCATCCAGATGCTTAGTGATGTGAGTAAATCATGCCCTTCTACATTATATAACGTTTAACTATAAATTTGTTTTTACCACAGAAACTGTGGCACTAAGGTCAAGAATTAAAAATTTGTACTCTCATTGATAGTTAAAGCGGTTTTTTTTTCCCAGCACTACTACACAACAAAAACCTGTCGGCCCACCGAGGAAACACAGTCGCAGAACAAAGAACCCAATTGTGCTCCTCTATTCTGCGATCGTGTGTATTTACTATAAACTAGCTAAATGCAGTTAGTAAAATTTTCTGGAATCATTCAAGTCGTTTGATTAGTTTATGTGTCAAAGTAATGTCCATGATAATCATATTTTTGGATCCCCGGTGGGCAAACACTCATCCCAAAGGCTAAGGCAAACCTGTCAATGTTTCCCCATACGAAGTAAGGAGAACACATACTCAGCCTACAACTCCACCCATGGGACGAGACGTCGTGAGCCTCAAAATATATAGCATATACCCAGTCAGCAAACACTATACACAACATACATACGATACCAATCAATGTTTAATGCCATTACTTCATTTAAAAGAAAATACATCTGCTATCTAATTTTAAAAAAATTGAAGAATAAACCTGAAGAGAGGAGAAGGAGAGAGGGGTTTGGGAGAGGTAGAGTAGGAAAACAACAAGATCCTGTGCCGCAGGATTTTAAAATTTGTTGTATGATGATTCGTTTTGTGTCGTCTCTTAGATTAATATAGGTCTGATACCCTTGTCATGGTTTTTTGCAATAACCATGACATAATAATATGACATAATAATATGACATAATAATATATTGATGTATAGTCAAGACGTGAGTGTTAGGGCTCTCATTGACAAATTTATGTTTAATCCTGTTTAATCCTGTTTAATCCTGTTTAGTGTACCAGTTAACCAGGTAACATATAGTGTTTTTTACCGAAATGTCGTACTCGGTTCCACTTACATTGTGAGTCACAATTCAACAACATAATTTTCAGTACGATGTTTTATAAAATAGCTTGCTTAATTGTTTAGTACCATCAGACGCCACACACCTGGTAACCAGGTAACCAGGTAACCAGGTAACCAGGTAACCAGGTAACCAGGTAACCAGGTAACCAGGTAACCAGGTAACCAGGTAAATAGGTAACCAGGTAACCAGGTAACCAGGTAACCAGGTAACCAGGTAACCAGGTAACCAGGTAACCAGGTAACCAGGTAACCAGGTAACCAGGTAACCAGGTAACCTGGTAACCAGGTAACCAGGTAACAAGGTAACCAGGTAACCAGGTAACCAGGTAACCAGGTAACCAGGTAACCAGGTAACCAGGTAACCAGGTAACCAGGTAACCAGGTAAATAGGTAACCAGGTAACCAGGTAACCAGGTAACCAGGTAACCAGGTAACCAGGTAACCAGGTAACCAGGTAACCAGGTAACCAGGTAACCAGGTAACCAGGTAACCAGGTAACCAGGTAACCAGGTAACCAGGTAACCAGGTAACCAGGTAACCAGGTAACCAGGTAACCAGGTAACCAGGTAACCAGGTAACCAGGTAACCAGGTAACCAGGTAACCAGGTAACCAGGTAACCAGGTAACCAGGTAACCAGGTAACCAGGTAACCAGGTAACCAGGTAACCAGGTAACCAGGTAACCAGGTAACCAGGTAACCAGGTAACCAGGTAACCAGGTTACCAGGTTACCAGGTTACAACCGTTACATTTGCATATTCCAACAGGTAGTTTCGGAAAGGCTAAGAACTACGCAGTATCAGCTGACCTAAAAATGACCGATCTCGGAAAATTCTCGACCAGCTATGGTTTCTTGGGTATTGCGTTCAACATGATGGACTCCAAAAACTATGATATCGCTTATGTCAGGTATTTTGAAATAAAATCTGGCCTCACAAGTTTAACATGGTGTCCGTTCTTAATTTTGAGCTTGTAAGTGTTTCACCGAGGATAATCATGTGAGACAAATACGAGAGTTATTTAAAAAATCTAAATCTTTTCAAACAATACATAATTAGTAATATACATCATTACGTAATATGTGAACGACATCTTATACAGAATTAAATGTTTATATTAGCTAGATACTAATTGTCACCAACTATCAGACCCCATGCAAAGGACCACTGCTGGGAGTTAGGGTACGTCGAGAATGGACGTTTATTTGGAAGGGACTTTGGAACATGTACCATGAAAATCCTGAAAGAATTCAATCTGGCCGTGAAAATCGAAAATGGAGAAGGTTTGTTTTGTCAAAAAATAATGCACCTTACATAATACACCCCTAAACTTGACATCAGAAACCTTTCTAATATGAATCTACAAATAATCATCAAGCTACGCTTCATTTAGCTTACAAATTTAATAATTTGAACACATTTCACTACACAAGGTGCGGTATATGTGAATGGAGCAAAAGAGTCAGACTTTACTCCCTTCTTCCCTCCATCAAACAAGGTCGCCACTGCAATGAGGAACAACATGGAGGCTAAAATGGAGACCAAAAACCTGCAAATCTGCCAAGGTTAGTAAATGTTACCATGGTAACACTGGTATATGTTACTGGTATACCAGTGTTACCATGGTAACACTGGTATATGTTACTGGTATACCAGCTGTTCTGAGACCATGGTAACACTAACACTGGTATACCAGTTCTGAGATTACATAATATAGATAATTCTAGTTTTAACATGTTGAATGTTGATGATGCAGATAACATCTGAAGTTTTAATAGATGAAGTGGTATTTGTAGCAATTGACACACTTTTATATTACTAATATTACTAATATTACAAATTATTACAGAGATAAAATGTGTATCGAGGTCGGAGTCAGGCAAGACTATGATCACCAAGCCTCTTGAGTCGTACAAAGACTTGGGAATGAGTGCATGTGAGGCTTGTACCTGTCAGCTTTTCGGTCAGATAAGGTAAGTTACTTTACTTTGGTTACTTTGGTTACTTTGGTTACTTTGGTTACTTTGGTTACTTTGGTTACGTTGGTTACGTTGGTTACGTTGGTTACCACTGAATCCGTTAGAAGTTACACGTACTTTACACGTGCTTTACGTGTATTTTACACGTACTTTAGTTCAACACGTATAATTTAAGTTCGGCAAAATCTTAAGTTTAAGTTCGACTTTGTCTAGAGTGCGCTACCTGTACTCTAGTTCGACACGTACTAAATTTCAAAAAAAGAACTTCGACATTATGTAATCTTATTGAGAGTGGTCGAAAGAATTTATAATATTATATATATTATATATATATATATATATTTTAATTTATAATCTGATAATTTCTTTACTATCTGGTGCGTAACTGACCTCAGACTCAATTGTTTATAGTTAGCACAATTGTAGACTAAGCGGTGCCCCAGGTAAATTGTACTCCGTTTTATAGATCTAGATTGTAGAGTAAGCTTGTAAAGTAGGAGAATTACAATTAACATTATCATAATGATATTATGACCTCAGACTCAATTGTTAGTTAGCACAATTGAAAACTAAGCGGTGCCCCAGGTAACTCGTAGTCGTACTTCGTTTTATAAATCTAGATTGTAGAGTAAGCTTGTAAAGTAGGAGAATTACAATTAATATTATTGATTATAGTGAATGGTTCTGAAAGTTCCAACTGCTGGCTGCTTGATACAGGTAACCAGGTAGCCAGGTAACCAGGTAACCAGGTAACCAGGTAACCAGGTAACCAGGTAACCAGGTAACCAGGTAACCAGGTAACCAGGTAACCAGGTAACCAGGTAACCAGGTAACCAGGTAACCAGGTAACCAGGTAACCAGGTAACCAGGTAACCAGGTAACCAGGTAACCAGGTAACCAGGTAACCAGGTAACCAGGTAACCAGGTAACCAGGTAACCAGGTAACCAGGTAACCAGGTAACCAGGTAACCAGGTAACCAGGTAACCAGGTAACCAGGTAACCAGGTAACCAGGTAACCAGGTAACCAGGTAACCAGGTAACCAGGTAACCAGGTAACCAGGTTACATTTACAATTAATATTATGGATTATAGTGAATGGTTCTGAAATTCCCAACTGCTGGCTGCTTGATATCAGAAAACAGTTTTTTAGATTACCTAAACGTTTTGAAATTTCTGATCTTGTGTACCTGCCATTGAGCTTGAGTGTTCCGATTCATGTCCTCTGGTCTGAGTCCATGTATACAGGCATAGTCCCAACTTTCTACAAGACTGGATATGTCACACCGCTTTTCAAGAAAGGTAGCAGGTGTGATGCTGCTAACTACAGACTGGTTACTCTGACCTCACATGTAGTCAAAGTCTATGAAAGAGTGGTTAGGAAACAAATTTGTTATCTGACAAACAACATGGTTTCAGATCGAACAGAAGCTGCTTGACCCAAATGCTCGATCACTTTGATGACATCTTTGAAGGGTTTACTCAGGGGAAAGACACAGACTCCATTTACCTCGACTTCGCCAAGGCTTTTGACAAAGTTGACTTGGACCTTCTCTTGTTAAAGTTAAAGAGATACGGATTCCATGGCAAACTTTTAAGCTGGATCCAGTCATTTCTCTCTGACCGTGCCAGGGTTCTAAGTGGTGTCCCTCAGGGAAGTGTGTTAGGACCACTATTGTTCATTTTGTTTATTAACGATCTAGAGCTAGCTGTTACCTCTTCTAAGGTAAGCTTCTTTGCTGACGATACTAGGGTCTCCAAACGTATCGATTGCTTTGAGGACTGTCTGCTGCTTCAGGCTGATCTGTACGGTATTCTCGACTGGTCACGCTGCAACAACATGAAGCTCCACGAACAGAAGTTTGAGCTCCTGAATCATCTCCACAACAGAAAGAGTACCTTTTCTGAACTCCCTTTTTACGTGGAAACTCTACTTTACAAGGTCTCCAGCGAGGAAATACTACATCCCGTTGAGAACGTTAGAGACCTCGGAGTTATGGTATCAAGCGATCTGAACTGGTCCAAACAGATCGGTAATATGGTCAAGAAAGCTAAGCACACTTTCATGGGTGTTTAGTGTCTTCAAAACTCGTGATAGGACCGTAATGACTAGTTTGACTACCCTATATAAGTCTTTGGTCAGAAGCTTACTAGAATACTGTTGTCCGCTGTGGGACCCTGTTAAGGTGACTGAGATCCAGCTTTTGGAGGGGGTCCAGCGGACATTCACCGATCGTATATGCGGTCTGGAAAATATGAACTACTGGGAGAGGCTTTCACATCTAAAGCTAATGTCACTGCAGCGCAGAAGGGAACGGTACACTATTCTGATGATGTGGAAGATCCTTCACAATGTTGTCCCTAATTGCAGCAATATAAGGTTCACAAAAACATCCAGACATGGTACCCGAGCAATCATCCCTTCCCTGTCTAGGTTGAGTTCCTCGAGCAACCAGACACTCTACGACAGCTCATTTGCTGTAAGAGGACCAAAACTGTGGAACAAAGTGCCTGATAATATTAAAGCTGAAGCTACTTTTGAGTCGTTTAAAGTTAGTTTGTCCAAGTTTATTGCTTTGATACCGGACAACCCTCCGACTTCCGGTTATAGCTGCAGCTGGTCTAATTCCCTGGTAGACTACTCGCCATCGAGGTGGTCAGAAATCTGATGACCCTTCCTGCTACGAGGATAAACACAACCAAAGTAACCAAAGTAAGAACCATGTGATCCTAAGATAAGGACCCAGCAATAGCCCTTGAATCACAAGCAGAAAAAGGAAACTATTTGTCGAACTAGAGTACGCTACCTGGACTCTAGTTTGACACATACCGAAGTTCGACAGTGGTTCACTTATCTAGTTAGACTAAGTTGTCTAATTAGATAAGTGAACTAGAGTACGTTAATCCGTCAGAAATTGGCGACAAACATTGAATCATTGGAACTTAGGCTGAAGGTTTATAATTTATTCATAAACAATTGTATTAGTAAGTTCACAACTACGAATTAGGATACATAATATACCATCCTTTTTTTCTGAAAATCTGTTTTTGTTTTGCGTCAAATTTCTCTCTCTTCGTTTTAACACTAACAGTACTGCACCCCTTGTACTTGTAACCTGATGCCCGACCATATAGCCAAGGCGAAGACGGCCTACAATGAAATTGTCGATATATTGGATAGTTTCCCGACTATAAATAAAAGCAACAGATCGAAGGAAGACAGTCAAAAGGCGTTTGATAAATCAAAGCTGAAGATTTTCAACCTCATGAAGACAAGCATTCTGCCTGTTATCACTGATAAGGGTGCTACATCATACACTTACATTGTAAAGGAGAATGTGCGAGTATCGGCTGAGATCAAGGATTTTCAGCTCAAAATCAGAGAGTTGCAAACGGAAAACGAAAGCTTGAATGCCCGAGCAGACACGCTAATTGGGACCTATAGTGACGTTGTTGGTGAAGTCAAGACTGTTTTGGAAAACTGGAAGCAAGATCTCGATGTATCAGGTATAGATATGAAGAAAGAAGTGAATCAGGCCGTTAAAGATCACCTGAAAGAGATTATGTCCGAAACTGTCTCCACGATAGTCAAAACAGACAAAATGACAAAAACATTTGCTGACGTTGTGAAGAATACAAAAAGTATTATTGGCCGCGAGACAAAGAAATGTTTCGAGAACAGTTTAGCCTCTGCGCTTAAGGAAAGCCAGTCTGAGATTGTATCTCAGACCACAGCTCGACAGGAAGCTGATGTGTTCGACAAAGAGAAGCGTATCAGGAACGTCGTGATCACTACTGTTCCTGAGAGCTCACTAACAGAGATAAAGGACAGGATCGCAGCCGACAAGCTTATAGCTGCCATGGTTCTAGATGTCACAATCGACCAGATAGAACGCTGCTACAGAGCTGGTCCCCCTCTCGGGTCTGGCTCTAATAAGGAAAGAACAAAGCCACGACCCCTTGTTGTTGTGCTTGCGACACCAGATCTTGCCCGTAGCAAGCACAAGTACGGAAATGGCTGCAAGGTTTTCAAGGATGGTGAGGACTACTGGATAAATCCAGACTTATCCCAGGCTGAAAGAAGAGCGAACTACGAGGCGCGGCAAAGAAGACGGGAGCGGACGAAGAACAGTGATTCCAAGGGACTATTGACAGGTGGTACGGAATCGGAAAACTCCGACAACGTTGCGACCGGTTAGCTGTCTCTAGTTATAATTCTAAACTAAGAAACAATGCTAGTCATTTTCTGAAAGTTTTTTATTCAAATGCAAATGACTTGAAGAATAAAATCAGTGAACTGCAAATTGTAGCCGAATCCAGCGACTGCAAGGTTTTGGGAATTACAGAAACAATGTTCAGTGCAGATGTGTATGATGCAGAGGTAGCATTAGCGAACTTTAGGCTGTATAGAGTAGATCGATTAACGGGGAAAGGTGGTGGTTCTTGTATATATGTGCATGATTCTATCCAATCTCACAATGTAACAATAAATGTACCTGATTGCATATGTGTCATGCTAAATTCTGATTGTATTGATATTGCGTTATTTGTTATATACCTATCCCCTTCATTAACAATCGATAAGTGTCAATCTATGTTATCTAATCTGTCCGTAGCGATTGAAAATCTAGCCCCTAATACCGAACTGATCATGATGGGAGATTTCAATCTTCCTGATGTTGTGTGGGATTTAGGTGTAGTTAAATGTCCGAATAATACAATTAATCAAAAATTCCTGATTCAACAGTGTTATCTTGATTTTTTCGCAAAACATGATCTCAGTTGGGTTATCGGAGACGATGTTAAAACTCGCAGAAGGAAGGTTTTAACAACAGTGCAATCGTCAACTCTTGACAATTTTATGACTTCAGACCCCGCCATATTTCAGGAAGTTCAAATAACCGCACCGCTGGGAAAATCAGACCATGTGGGAATTATCAGTAAGTGGTCAATTGCTAACCATGATGAATATGTGACTCAACAGAAGAAGAATTGGTCAAAAGCAAACAAAGACCTAATCATTGATACAGCAGGGCCGCTGCAATGGAGTGCTAATCATGACTTGACTATTGAAGAGCACTGGAATCTGATTCAGGCCAATGCCAACACCATTGCTGAAGCTGTTCCAGTCGTCAAATTGAGGATAAATCGTGCAGGTGCAATAAAATCACGATCGGTCTGGGACAAACCATGTCTAATCAAGGCACGGAAGCTAAAAGAAAAACTGTGGTCTATTTTTGAAAGCGACCCGACATCAAAAAACCTGAATCATGCACTACATCAGCAGGGTGCTTACGAGAAGAAGCAACAGCAGCTCATGATATGCTATGAGAATAAAGCAGCAGCCCAGCTAAAAATAAATCCAAAAGCCTTCTACAGCTATATGAACTCCAAGCGCAAGATTAAGGCTGCAATATCTGGAATCAGAGATGCTAGTGGGGATGAACTCCACTCAGCACATGATATGGCTAACCAACTTGGGATTTTCTTTGAGATCACGTTTGTAAAGGAGGATCAGGCCTCAATACCTGACCCACTACCCGGAGACAGCGCAAAGGAGACGATTCCTGACCTGAAATTCAATACAAGTGAAGTTCAAGATCAACTTCGTAAAGTTAACATCTGGAAATCCGTTGGACCTGATGATATACACCCCAAGCTTTTGAAAACACTATCCGAAAACAAACAGTTTGCTGATTCAGTCACAGCACTGTTCCAAAAATGCTACAACGACGGAAAGATTCCCGAAATCTGGAAGCAAGCAAATGTCACTGCATTGCATAAAAAGGGGGATAAATCCCAAGCCAGCAACTATCGCCCTATTAGCCTAACGTGTGTTCTTTCCAAGATCTTTGAGAGGTTTTTAAGAAACCATATTCTAGCTCACGTATCCCCCATGATTGTGAATGAACAACACGGTTTCCTACCAAAAAGATCCTGCGTCTCGAACCTCCTGGAATGTATGGACATTGTCAGTGAGATACTAGAGAAGGACGGGTCAGCTGATATACTGTATCTCGATTTTCAGAAGGCTTTCGATTCTGTACCACACAAACGATTGCTGAGAAAATTGCAATCCTTTGGAATATCTGGTAACACCCTTGCAGTCGTGGAAGACTTTCTAACAGGAAGAACATTTCGCGTCAGGGTTGGATCATCATTTTCTAGAGTCTTTGCTGTAACATCCGGGGTCCCTCAAGGAACCGTGCTGGGCCCCCTGCTCTTCCTGCTCTTCATAAATGATCTCCCTGATGGAATTGAGAGCTTCGTATCACTCTTTGCTGACGATCTTAAGCTAGTAACGAGCACAGCTAAGCACAGTGTTGCACAAGATGATATACTGAAACTCAATGCGTGGGAGAAGGAATGGCTCCTAAGATTCAATGTGAAAGATGGCAAGTGTAAGGTTCTACATATTGGGCGTAACAATCCAATGCATGAGTACTTCATGAATGGGGAATGCCTCCCCCAAGTGAAGTCAGAAAAGGATCTTGGAGTTCTAACTACCAGAAACCTGGACTGGAGTGACCATATAGATAAGTCCGTGAAAAAAGCAAAGTCTGTTATAGGCTGGATCAAACGAAGCTTGATCTGCCGTAACAAATTTGTTATGCTAAATGTCTACTGAACTCTAGTTCGACCTCACATCGAATACGCTGTGCAAGTGTGGAATCTACCAGCAGACCACGGAAACTGGAGGACTATTAAAAAGATAGAAGATGTTCAGAGAGAATTTACACGAATAATCGACGGGATTGGTATCCTACCATACGACGAGAGACTGAGAATCCTTCAGTTAACAACACTACTGGAGCGCCGTATGAGGGGTGATCTTATTGAAACCTTTAAAATAACGACGGGTAAAGTGGACTATGGACAAGATCTTTTCAGGATATCACGTAGTGGTACCAAGATCCTAAAAGATAAAAGAGGAAATCAGGTCCTCAGTAAGTTACTGACCCGGTTACTGACAGTAACCGGGTTGCCAATTACTGGAACAAAGTACCAAGTTCGGTTAAAGAAGCCAGTTCAGTAGACGCATTCAAAGCTCGACTTCAATGTTATAAAAATGAACTGATAGCGAGTGGAGCATCGTCAAAGGGTCACTTCTGGGATCTCAGCGAAACCTTGATGTCAAAAATAAATACATGTGAGCATGATTCATATGCATATTTCATGTCTAATAACCCATTGATTGCTAAATACCGAGGAATCAATGTATCTTGATTGTTAAATTCAGAACTACATGTTAACGTCCTTAAAATAATTAATCATTACATGTTCCGGATAGGAACATTTTTCTTTTTGAAAATATTGTGCGAACTGCAATAGCGTAGAGTGCAGTTGGGTTTCAAGTTTTGTCGAGATGGCTATGTGGCCATAATCCTATTATTATTATTATTATCTAACACACGTGATATGACACGGTGAACCATCTAACACACGTGATATGACACGTGTAATCTAACACACGTGGTGATATGACACATGTTATCCTAGGTGTGGATGTAGGTCTGCAGATGAACAAGGTGTTTCTTGTACGAGTAATATGATCCCCGCTGTCGGACATGACTGTTGTGCCAGATGTGTTCCTCGTGAGTAAATAATTACAGATTTTATTTCTTCCTCGAGGATAAGGGTTATTTGTTACGTGATTAGTACAACTTGAATCCTAACGTTTTAGGTATCCGACCAATGTCAAACTGATTATAAAGCTAAAGCTAACCCTGACAGTAACACTCTATTTCTCTCGCTCTCTCTCTCTCTCTCTCTCTCTCTCTCTCTCTCTCTCTCTCTCTCTCTCTCTCTCTCTCTCTCTCTCTCTCTCTCTCTCTCTCTCTCTCTCTCTCTCTCTCTCTCTCTCTCTCTCTCTCTCTCTCTCTCTCTCTCTCTCTCTCTCTCTCTCTCTCTCTCTCTCTCTCTCTCTCTCTCTCTCTCTCTCTCTCTCTCTCTCTCTCTCTCTCTCTCTCTCTCTCTCTCTCTCTCTCTCTCTCTCTCTCTCTCTCTCTCTCTCTCTCTCTCTCTCTCTCTCTCTATATATATATATATATATATATCTCTCTCTCTCTCTCTCTCTATATATCTCTCTCTCTCTCTCTCTCTCTCTCTCTCTCTCTCTCTCTCTCTCTCTCTCTCTCTCTCTCCCTCTCTCGCATTGGCTTATCCGTGTATAAACGGCTTATCTGTGTATGCTCTCTATACACGGATAAGCCGTTTATACACGGATCAGCCGTACGGCTTATCTGTGTATGGAGTTGGAGGCTGATCCGTGTATGAACAGCTTATCCGTGTATCACTCTCTAGAGCTGTTCACCGCGTATACACAGATCAGCCGTACGGCTGATCTGTGTATCATGATAAATTTGTCGAGTTTCGGAGAGGCTTATCTGTGTATATTTAGCTGATCTTTGTGTCGATAGAGAGAATTTCAGAGAGCAGATTTTCGAATACACAGATAAGCCTTTATTATAAACCCTACATAATGGTGATGGACATTTGTCCGTTCAGTATAAGTAGTGACTGGACCAAACAAGTAGATGAATTAACTGACTATAGTCGCGCCAGAAATAGTTGGTGCTATTGGCAACTGTTTACCAGTTGGTACTAGTCATTAGCCTGACGATGAACACAGTTAGTGTTTGAATGCTTGAGATTTAAGAGTTTCATTTCGTTAAGAAATTAAGAATTATATTATACCATTAGTTCTAAAGTTTATACTACTATAGTAATGGGGACTATGTAAAATTAAGTCAATGATTTTACCTAGTTACCTGCAGTCCTTATGAAATTTAGTCCCCAAAAGTCTCCATAAGTCCCCATTTGGATTATGGAAAACCTGACTATTACATACAAATTCGTCAATTTTTCATGATTAAAGTGTAGGCCATGGTCACTGGACAAACCTGACTTCTAGAAACTACTTAAGGAACTGTCAGGGAACTACTGGTGGGACTTTTGAGTGCTGTGGTACTACTGGCGATGGGACCACTGGGGTACTACATGTACAGGGGAATACAGAGTACAGGGCTGAGTGGCTCAATTCGTTAATCGGCCAGCTCGGATGAAATGCATGCATTTCATCCGTTGGTAGCAGGTTTTGGTCTCCGCTGTGCCACTCAGTCACGGGGCTAACGTCTTTGACGCTCAGCTAAGGATCCCGAGTGATCTATGCAGCCCCTCGGTCCAGTCAGCCAAATACTCGAGAAATCGGGTGTGAGGGTTAAATGAGTAGCTGCCCATTGCAGCGAAGTCTGTGGCGAAGAAAGTATTGTACACACTACATTAACCGTCGCTGGCCTAATATATGTGAATCCTTCGGCTTCCGGTAATTGGCCGTTACACGCAAGTGTAACAATATGGCTGTTGGAATGTCTCCGAAGTAAAATAAGTATTCGATAAAAAAGGGGTATTACTGGGGTACTATAAGGGAACTACCTTAGGACTACATGAGTACTATATATATATATATATATATATATACTTGGAGACTGCAGAAATACTACTGCGGGTTACGAGGTTCTACTAGGGGACTGCTGTGGGACTGCAGGGGTCCGGTAGTACAGTGACACTACATGGTTACGACTTGGGAGCTACAGAGCAGAGGTAGAACAGGGGTACCACTGGAGGAATAGGTGGGTACTACTGGGGTACTGCTTGGGGACTAGAGTTTCCACTGTGGAGTACTGGAGACAGCAGGAGTACTACTGGGGGACCTAGCATCGATAGACCAAATGATCAGGACAATGTCACTATCCAAAGATTTAAACGACCGTCCCTACTACAATTCGTGCAGGACTCAGAGCTTTAGAACTGCACGTTCCTTGTAATACTAAGAAAACTTATCTCCTAAATCCTTCTAACAGTAACTCCATTTACTCAGCACCACCACAACTTACTACCTATGTACTAACAGCTTCAATTAGAATGCTCATACCTGCACTATAACTCTATAAGTAAACGCACCTTACTTATTCAAAACTACACGTACCTTTCAAATACTCGTACATTTAAATACGTTCTACGCTTGGAATAATACAACTGAATGAAAACCACAACTCCCTGTCATTAGTTTTAGTACGAGGATATCCGAAACGAAAGACAAAGCTATGAACTGACTTAATTTAGTCTAACCAGCGCAAAATATACATTTTTGATAAATTTTCGATAATTGTCGCGACAACTAGCGCTGGATAGCGATAACTAGCGCTGGCCAGCGCTAATTGTTGCCATCCAGTGCTAGTTGTCGCTATCCAGCGCTGGTTGCGAGATTACGCGTCAGCTAGCGCTGGCCAGCGCAATGTATCGAAATCATAATATACTTGCGATATTACTCGTCAGCCAGCGCTGGCCAGCGCAATATAGTTGCGATATTACTCGTCAGCTAGCGCTGGCCAGTGTTACCCCTTGCTTTAGATTTCTCCAAAAATATTTTATGTTTTGCCTTACCTGGGGACCTCAGGCTATTATGTTCATAAACATAGAGATTATGTTCATAAACATAGAGATTCGGCGGAATGACAGGCTGAGCGCAGCCCAGTAAGTTTTGCCGAGATTCCTCCACAACTCGGCCATGTCATTAGTTTTAGTACGAGGATCTCCGAAACGAAAGATATGATTATTTTTAAGCCCTAACCCTAACCCACAGGTTACTTCCTAAGGCTAACCCCTACCCTGACCCTGACCCTGACCCTATCCCTCAATCCCTGACCCTAACTCAAGGCTTAAAATGCAATAAACGACAAAAATAGCGGGTCACGTAACCAAATCAGTTGTTGGCCAGGGAAGCATTTTTACCCCTTTTACTTTTAGTTTTACTTTTAGCGTAAAAAAATACGTCTCATTAAAATAAAATAAGTTTCATTGAAAATAGGGCAAAAATAAGATTTTCGAAAAAGTTAGGGCGACGCGAGCGATTTACAGTTTATAAAAAAACTAAATCAAAATTAGTACAAGCGACAAATGATGAATGACTTAGTATTTAAAAATCTATTTATATTTCGCGATGCACCAACAATAACATTAATGGTTTATTTTAAAGTTAAAATTAATTTTTTCTTGCATAATTATTTTTAATAATAAATATTTTTTTGAGATTTTCCTATTCGAATTTTAACAAGAATTACGCGTTTTACTGGCAGTAGTGACCGAATAAAAATATATATAGATATATTTTTATCGCCATAATTATAATTATAAAACCTTCAAGTTTATGATTATCTAGGCCACCCTTACTGGGCCGCGCTCAGCCTGTCATTCCGCCGAATCTCTATGTTTATGAACATAATAGCCTGAGGTCCCGGCCCAGGTAAGGCCACCCGCGCCGTGACTTATGAACACACATAGCATAAACTGGGGAATTAATTAAATTTGTGGCAATAATTTAATAAATTAGATGTGATGTGACTTAAATGAATTTGGAATTATTTAATTAAAATTATTATAAGATATCTAATTCTAATGACGCACGTAGCGACAATTAATTTTATATAAATCGCGCCGCACAATGAAATCCTAATTCGATTTTGTTTTGAAATTTCCGCGCTCAGTCGGCATGGGAAAAAGGTCGCCATAGCAACGAACTCAAATGCCGTATGTATAATGTTGCGAGCTAGTTAATGTGCGAATTTAGGTTTTGACCACTCGTTTAGAGTACGACTACGGCTGATCCATGTATGGGTGGAGAGGAACGTTTAGTTTTAATTTTGCTGACTTATTACAATGATTTGAAGCACCATATTTTAGATCCGAGTCATAATTAACTTGACTTTCATCACACTTTCGCCTCCAGGTGAAACTCCAATAAAAATTGTTTGGCTAGAAAATTTTGCCAGTGTTACCCCTTGCTTCAGATTTCTCCAAAAATATTTTATGTTTTGCAGAGATTCCTCCACAACTCCATGTCATTAGTTTTAGTACGAGGATCTCCGAAACGAAAGACAAAGCTATCAACTGACTTAATTTTGCGATAAAACGAAAAACAGTGTTGCTCTCTGTGTCATACACAGATCAGCTGTTCATACAGGGATAAGCCCTTGGTCTGGGCTGATCTTAGATGAGCTTATTTGTGTATAAACGGCTGATCCGTGTATGGGTGGAGAGGAACGCTTAGTATTAATTTTGCTGACTTATTACAATGAGTTGAAGCACCATACTTTAGATCCGAGTCATAATTAACGTGACTTTCATCACACTTTCGCCTCAAGATGAAACTCCAATAAAAATTTTTTGGCTAGAAAATTTTGCCAGTGTTACTTACCCCTTGCTTCAGATTTCTCCAAAAATATTTTATGTTTTGCAGAGATTCCTCCACAACTCCATGTCATTAGTTTTAGTACGAGGATCTCCGAAACGAAAGACAAAGCTATCAACTGACTTAATTTTGCGATAAAACGAAAAACAGTGTTGCTCTCTGTGTCATACACAGATCAGCTGTTCATACAGGGATAAGCTCTTGGTCTGGGCTGATCTTAGATGAGCTTATCTGTGTATAAACGGCTGATCCGTGTATGGGTGGAGAGGAACGCTTAGTATTAATTTTGCTGACTTATTACAATGAGTTGAAGCACCATACCTTAGATCCGAGTCATAATTAACTTGACTTTCATCACACTTTCGCCTTCATGTGAAAGTTCCACCTGAAGGCGAAAGTGTGATGAAAGTTTCACTGAAAGTGAAACTCCAATAAAAAATTTTTGACAAGATAAAATTTTTGGCTCGTTCTTAACTGACCCCTTTGGATCCGCACACGAACAAATAAAACGCACGTTTGTATAGATTTGAGTGTATGTTGCATATATGCGTTTTGTGTACAAACAAAGTTGGCATAAGAAGAGGAAGAAGAAAAGTCATATCTTTTGGGTTAAACATAAAATAAATACTCGAATAAAATACACCATTGGAGGGGGTTGGGGGGGGGGTTCAACCCAAAAAAATACAATAAAAGATATTGTCTATTCCGAATCACTGGAATTCGAGTTCGACTGCCCGCCCAACCCCAGTATGTCCGTTTCTTCATAACCACGTTTTCTCATCACTTTGTATCCAGCGTAGAGATTTTCTGCAACAGTCAAGGCTTTCTTAGCCGGGAAGGTATGGTAACTTAAAGTAAATATAAGGTAAGTTATTTAGGTCCATATTTAGAAGATATGGGTGTTGGACCATTTTTCTGGATCTTAACAAAATTGCAATGAACTAGGCAATATTAGGAAATTGCAGGTCTTTTGAATTTCAAAGGGAGTACAAAATGGCAAACAAACGGAAACAGACAATCGGATAAGGGCACATACGCAAGCATCTGATCAATTTAAAACAGTCACCTCCCAAGTTCTTACATCTGACATCTACATCCTTCACCAAAACTGGTTTGTCCGCTTTTTATTCGATTATGTTAGTTTGGAGGAGCATCACGGCTCTCGACAGTAAAAGTACAAAATGAAACTAGGCAAATGTGATAACAAGAATGGAAATAATACGGACATGTGCACCTGACGTTTCGGCACTTACTGGCCTTTTACGAAGGATATATATAATTTATAAGTGAGGGCAGTCCCGCTATAAAAGAGGGGGACGTGTAATTAGGTCGTAAGCTAAAATAAACACGTATTAGAGTGACTTTGACTGTCGAGAGCCGTGATGCTCCTCCAAACTAACATAATCGTTTCTTACCTGGGGACCCCAGGCTATTATGTTCATAATAAAGATTCGGCGGAATGACAGGCTGAGCGCCGCCCAGTAAAATCGTTTCAAACTCACGCTCGGCCTTATACGCGAGATCTGGCCGCTTTTTATTACTAATTTCCCGCTGAAAGTGTCGTGTCACATCAGGCGTTCTAACAAACTGCGCTACCTGGCCGTTAAAGTTCATGTCATTTCATTTTTGATTTTAAAACGATGGCGGGTTTGAGCCACCATACATCAGTGATCAAACATTGGTACGGCGGTACGCAACTTTAAAAAGTCCGACTCATACGACGTACGGTCGCACCCGATAGTTTGTGATGGCCATCGCAGAAAACAGTTCGATAACTAGCGCTGGATATCGACAATTAGCGCTGGATAGCAACAACTAGCGCAAAATATAAATTTTTGATAAATTTTCGATAATTGTCGCGTCAGCTAGCGCTGGCCAGCGCAATAACTCAAAATCAAATATTTGCGATATTACTCGTCAGCTAGCGCCAAGTGTTGTGGCGAAAGCCACGATACAGCTGCGCAGCAGGATATATATATTATATATATAAGCAGGATACATATATATATATAATTGCGCCAGTTAGTGTAGCCGTAGGGGTCGTTCGTTCACTTCACATATTATTGACATTGTTAAGTAATCTTTTTTGGAACATTTTTAACCTCCCCACTCCGTAATATCAAATTATACTAGCGTCATCATTTGGAAACCCCCCACAGCTATCTGATTAAGTAATATGTGAACGACGCAGCTACAAAATTTATATTTTGCGCTGGATAGCGTTATCCAGCGTTGAAAATGAATAGCGACAACTAGTGCTGGATGGCGACAACTAGCGCTGGATAGCGCTAGTAGCAGTTGTCGCCATCCAGCGCTAGTTGTCGCGTTTTGACTATCCGCTATCGCAAAAGAACCCACATTTCTTATTAACAGTATGAGTAACCTTAACCCGTGCGTTAAGTGTCCGTGCGTTATGTGTAGACAAACCGTCAACTTGCCCTCAGATTCAGATCACAAAGCTGACCTTGCACAGTGCAACGGCGGCTCACATATCATAATCATATTGACTGGATTTACATGTCGATTTACAGTGCGCTACTCTCACTGTAAATCGTACGGCGATATAAGGGTGTCAATTTACAGTGCGATTACTAGTGTTTTGAGTCGTTATATTATTCAAAAGCCAAAAGTACTCGAAAAAGGGTAGGGGAGGTCAAGCTAGGTTTTGAACGTAGTGACATTGGGAAAAAGTGGTAATTCATCTACTTCAACTTGTTGTGGTCCAGTCATTATCTTTGCTGAGCATAATATCATCACATTATGTTTTACAAAAAGAGCTTATCTGTGTATTCGTGTCGAAAATCTGCTCTCTGAAATTCTCTCTATCGATACACAATTCAGCCAATATACATAAATAAGCCATTTCAACTTTTTCAAGCGTTTTTCAAAACGGCTTATCTGTGTATATTGCTCTCTAGAATTTGGCGAGAGAGCATACACGGATCAGCCATGGCGATCTATCTCTCTCTCTCTCTCTCTCTCTCTATATATATATATATATATATATCTCTCTCTCTCTCTCTCTATATCTCTCTCTCTCTCTCTCTCTATATCTCTCTCTCTCTCTATATATATATATCTCTCTCTCTCTCTCTCTCTCTCTATCTCTCTCTCTCTATCTCTCTCTCTCTCTCTCTCTCTCTCTCTCTCTCTCTCTCTCTCTCTCTCTCTCTCTCTCTCTCTCTCTCTCTCTCTCTCTCTCTCTCTCTCTCTCTCTCTCTCTCTCTCTCTCTCTAATATATATATATAGTATATCTCTCTCTCTCAGCGTCAGCAAAATGTTACGGAGCCGGAGATCCTCATTACAGGAGCTGGGACGGCAGAGCTTTTGATTACCAGGGTAGTTGCACATACACTATGGTGAAGACGCTCGACTTCCAGGTCATGCAAAAGAATAAAAAATATAGGAGTGGTGCAGTTTCCATTACCGAGTAAGTTTTTACCTTTAAATATGCTAAATATGCACTATAGTGCAAAGAAATTGCTGCTAACTGCTGCTCACTCCTGTGCCTGGCGTCTGTTTCAGCCCGTCAAAATATCTTTTGTTATTCACCCCTCTGGGTCAGTTTCCAAGATGCAGGATAAATATATTTGTTGACTGTTTCCACCCGTCTCTCTCTTTAAACAGTAGGCTGAATATTTGTAGTAAAATAATCCCATACATCAGTAAACTAATCACATATAGCAGTAAAATAATCACATACAGCTGTAAAATAATCACATACAGCAGTAAAATGATCACATACAGCAGTAAAATAATCACATTCAGCAGTAAACTAATCACATATAGCAGCAGTAAAATAATCACATTCAGCAGTAGTAAAATAATCACATACAGCAGTAAAATAATCACATACAGCAGTAAAATAATCACATACCGCAGTAAAACAATCACATACAGCAGTAAAATAATCACATTCAGCAGTAAAATAATCACATACAGCAGCAAACAATCATGTACTATTTTTTTTCAGATACTGCCTCCTCATCTTCGAAGGTGATGAGTACAAGATGCAAAATAAAATACTCTACACTCCTGCCGGCGGTACACAGAATACCGTTCTAACTCCTTACAAGAAATATTATAATACACAGGATTACGTTGACTGTGTGCAGAACACTGAGTGCTCTGTCTACATTAAAAACCAGAAGATGTTGACGGTTACCTGTTACCCTGGAAATGCCATCTATCTTTGGGTAATTAATTAAATAATTAAAACGACATAAAGTGAAGAAACAATGCTCTGAGTATTAGACGACTTTTCCCTACTACTTTATTCCTAGATCCACGGGACGTACTACGAAAAAACAGAAGGAATGTGCGGAATCTGGGACGGAAACTTTTACCATGACTACAGGAACAAGGACGGACAAATAGTAAATAGCCCCAATATCATGGGAGCGGCTTTCAGATACTCCAACAACGACGACGGTTGTCCGAACCCACCCGAAGCAGTGGACCCATGTGATCTTGTTACGAGGGCAGTGAGGAACTGGGTTGAACAATATTGTTCTAGATACAAGCAGGAGCCTTTCAAGAGCTGTCCCGTGGATGTTACTCAGTCGTTTAAGGCAAGTACCAAATATTTCTGTAGGATTTGTCAACACTTTCTGTGTTCATGTAAGAGCTGAAAGAGTGAAGTACGATTGTGAAGTTTGTGTCATAGAAGCACCGTATTTCTGAATGTACACTGTACAGCAACATTGCGCGCACTGAAGCAACATTTAATAAAACAAAAGTTAATAAAACAAAAGTTAAATTTATTACCAATTATTCAATCAATACATATCATAAATTCTAATATTGGAAACACAATGCAAAATGGATGTCTTAAACTATAATTTCATTGTGACTAATAATCTATTGACTTTCAAAGTTGAATTTTAGTTAAGTATGAAATGCCACCACATCATAGTTAGGGTAAAATGTTATTTTTAAATTTTAAAATTGAGAAGATTGCTCTATGGCTTAAAATGTAAAATTCTAGCAAAAGATATCTTATTTTTAAATAGTTGGTTACAGTTTATGACAGTACTGGCATGACTAGTTTTATTGTGGCTGGCAAAAGGACCCAGTTGCCTGTAAGGGCTTTACCGAACCCCAGGGGACCACAATGTGATAAGATCAGGCCAGATGTTTCTATGTAGAGCAATTTATTTATTTTGGAGCTATGATTACGTGGTATAGCTGGTGGTCATGTTTAAAGGTCAGTTTATCCTTGTGTGCTAATTATCCATCCAGATGCTTAGTGATGTGGGTAAATCATGCCCTTCTACGATATATAATGTTTGACCTTAAATTTGTTTTTACCACATAAACTGTGGCACTAACGTCAATTATCAATATTTACATTCATTGATATTTAAAGCGTGTTTTTTCCCCAGCACTACTACACAACAAAAACCTGTCGGCCCACCGAGGAAACACGGTCGCAGAACAAAGAGCCCAATTGTGCTCTTCTATTCTGTGATCGTGTGTATCTACTATAAACTAGCTAAATATACTAAGAAAATTTAATGGAATCATTACAGTCGTTTGATAAGTTCACGTGTCAAAGTAATGTTCATGGTGATCATATTTTTTGATCCCCGGTGGGCAAACACTCGTCCGAAAGGTCAAGGCAAACCTGTCGATGTTTCACCATACGAAGTAAGGCGATTTGAACATATACTCAGCTTACAACTCAACCCATGGGACGAGACGTCGTGAGCCTCAAAATTCTTTAAAATATACAGCACATACCTAGTTAGCAAACACTAAACACAACATACATACGATACCAAATAATGTATAATGCCATTACTAATTCGAAAGAAAATATATCTGCTATCTAATTTAAAAAATTGAAGAATAAACCTGAAGAAAGGGGAAGGAGAGGGGTTTGGGAGAGGCAGAGTAGGAAAACAACAGGGTCCTGTGCCGCAGGATTTTAAAATTTGTTGTATGATGATTCGTTTTGTTTCGTCTCTTAGATTAATATATAGGTCTGATACCCTTGTCATGGTTCTTTGCAATAACACCGTGGTTTACTCATATGATTAAGTTTAGTTAATTAACCTATTTCAATGATAATTCATTTGCATCAAAGTTGTAACTGCACCATAGTTGTCTGTCATATTTAGATTGTAGTTCTAACAAAGCTTTCTTAAGATTATTCTTGAATATACTGATAGGAGTGGAGAAGTCTATTTCACTCGTTGACTTACGGCAGTGATTCCAAATACTGGTTGATTGGTAGATGAATAGTGAGGACGGAGTGGGTGGGATGAAGTAGTTGTCTCGTCTTGGTGACCTGTTGAATAAAGAGAACATTGAGACTGGTGATTGGAACTTATTAATTTTAAACATTTCCAGTAAACAGTGCAACTTATGAAGATTGTGGACAGTCAGGAAGTTATACTCGTTACAGATTGGTTTACTGTGTTCTAGTTCAAAGAAATCTTTGCCTAACATCTGCTTGATAACTTTACCGGTCTTATCCCTAGTGATAGGCCTTACTCTGGCACATGTTTTGAACTTATTGAAGTACGCATCATTATCACCAAAGAGAATTCTTATGCATTTCTTTTGTGTTTTAAATATGGCTTCTAGTTTATTATTTGATACACCTCCCCAAACAGATATTCCATAACATAGGTGTGATTCAAAAAGGGTGTGGTACAGGTCCTTATAGAGTGTTTTAGGTACACAGCGTCTGATTCCACATAGTCTACCAATCTCACATTTCAATTTACGATTTAACGCTCTCAAGTGAGCATCCCAGTTCAGTTTTTGGTCAATAATGACTCCAAGAAACTTAGTTTCCTCTACCTTTTTAATTATTATATTATTCAGTGTCAGTTCTAATTCATTAGTGTTTGAATCTGGTTCATTTCTACAGTTCGGCTTAAAGTGGATATAACAACATTTCTTTGTGTTGATATGCAGCAAGTTACTCTTCATATATTGATGAACAAGTTTAAGAATTTTGTTAGCTTTGCAGTAAAGTGTTTTTATACATTTATCTACAACAAATATGTTGGTGTCATCGGCAAAAAGTATAAACTTACCTAGGTCTGATACTCTATATATTTCATTGATGTAGATAATGAAAAGCAAGGGACCTAATACTGACCCCTGAGGCACACCAAATATTACAGACAGTTTTTCGGATTCTTCTCCAAGTACTGAAACATATTGCTGCCTATTAGAGAGGTAACTGGCTATTAATTTATTTGCAGTCCCTCGAATTCCATAATCATTCAGTTTTTTAAGCAGTTTATCATGACAGATTGTATCAAAAGCTTTACTTAAATCAATGAAGATGCCTAGTACATGATTTTTATCTCTTAGTGATTTTTCAATGTAGTCGACAGAGAAGTTAAGTGCATGGCTTGTCGAATGATTTTTTCTGAAGCCATATTGATTTTCATATAATAATCCTTGCGACTGGAAGAAACTGTAAAGCCTGGAGAATATAATTTTCTCAAGTATTTTACCAAATATCGCTAAGGTTGAGATAGGCCTGTAATTTTCAAGAAGCTCAGCATTTTCTTTCTTATATATTGGACTTATTTTACCTACTTTTAGGTCGTCTGGAAAAACTCCCTGTTGCATACATTCGTTATACAATACCGATAGTAGTGGACTAATTTTGCCTGATACTGCCTTTACTATATGTACTGGTATATCACTAGCCTTGCCATTCTTTAGTTCCGATATGATCTTAGCCACCTCTTCAGGTGAGCAGTCATGTAGATATATATTAGCTGTATTCGATTTAGGTAAGAGGTCACAGAAACTTGGAAGCTGATTAATTTGTATTTCTCCTAGTTCTGTGTAGGCTGCATTAAGGTTAGATGCTAGGGATACAAAATACTTATTGAATTCATTCGCTATAACTCTGCGATTAGTTATCTTTTCATTGTCTATGGTAAATATAGGTCTGATCTCACGTTTCTGTTTGCCACGAATTTTATTTATAAGTTCCCAGGTTTTCTTGGAGTTTCCCTGAGTTTCAAGAAACTTGTCAGAATAATATTCAGATACAGCCATTTTACGAACCTTTTTTAGAGCCTTTCTATATTCTTTGTAGTCATCATAATGGTTTCTTTTATTACAGCAGATAGAACACAGGCATGTGCCCCCTTTTGTGTCAGTTTCGCCTTGTTTACACTTAACTTTCCTGACTTTCGCCCAGTAAAACAAATTTTTTTTAGTAAAACAAATTTTATTTTATACCCACAATCAATTCATATTTAGTTCAAATATTTAAAGTCAAAATAACCATTTCACATAAGTGGTTATATTATAATAAAATAATTTGTGATAAATTAATAAATTAATTTACACTCATGTCAAAAATGAACAAAATATACACAATTTTTACCTAGTGCAACACTGGTTCAGCGCGCGGCTGATCGAAAAAGTTTGATTTGATTTACTAACTACAGTGTACAGCGTACATGAAAAAATTACTTACTGAATCTTTTAATACTAGACACATTTTAATTCAGATGTTGTTCAATGAGTTAGCCACAAAAATGTTCAAATTATGTAGGAGGGTAAAGGACACAATTGCCAGTAGTGCTTCTTTGTGCCCGTTGACTACAATGAACATTTTGCGGAGTTTCTCCAGACGGCTTTTATCGGAGTGCGTGTTATTTACTTGGTTATGCACAAGCCAGGCCAACATTTTGTTTTTGTGTCAGCCGTGCTACCAGGTTGCAGAGTATTATAAACACTAAACAATTATACACTATACAAATTTGCTAATACAATATCATGCAGAGTCCGATTTAGCTGCAAACGTCAGACACCACAGTTCAGCCGCCAAGTACCGTTTAAGTGAACACCGAAACACGAGGTTTAGGTGTCATTTTGTAAATCACTTTATGGATGGATAATTCAGTAATTGTTGAAGAAAATTACAGTCACTGCCACCTATAGCGTTATGTCATGGGTCTGATTAACGGCCAAGAATAAATGTACGTGCGCGCTTAAGAAACCCGCGCAAATGTTGAGGTAGGGAGCAGCTGCGGCGCGCTTTTAACATATATTACGTATAGCGCCGTACGGAAACGGCAATATTTAAGTAATTAAGTATTTGTTTACATAAATTCCACGTTTTTATCAATAATCTAGCATGGTCCAAAACTGCTAAAGTTGTCATTATGCCACTCATTATCGAACCTGGTTTGGGCATCTAGAAGAGATCGGTTTAGCCTTGATTTGATTGAGTTACAGGATGTGTTCACAAAGTCAGGTTTATTCTGTGGATTGGAGTCCTTGAATTGATTCCAAAGCCAAGAAGATTTATAAATAAAGTTATGGCTTGGCTTTGGTGGTATTAGACGGTCATCCCTCAGTTCAGACATGTTAAGTAAAGAGTAGAGAGATATGGGTACCCTATATTTCACTATTTTAAAAAGTTCAGTTATAGTACGAAGTTTGTAAAGATTATGAACAGTAAGGAGTTTATGACTGTTAAATAATGGTTTGGTTGATTCCTTGGAATGGAATTCAGCTCCTAGTTTTTGACAACATAAGGGTCTAACAAGTTTATTATGAACTACCGATTTAGAGCGGACAC